TTGTAGGAAAAATAGCTATTGTTACCTTCTCAGATCAAAATAAATTACTAAATAAACGATCTGAGCTCATTTCAAAATGCAGACATGAAAAAAAAATTTACTACGTTACTTAAATATCGAAAACGGAAAAGAATAAATAAAAATAAACAAAATAATATAGAAACAAGTAGAATAAATTAACCCAAACAAATAATAAACAAACTATGAAACCACTTCCGTTAGAATAGACGAAATGAAATAAATAAAAAATAAATACATAAAAAAGTAATAACAATCAACACAAATAAGTAAATAAAGTAAACAATAAACAAATTAACAAAACAACCGTTAAACTACAACAATCAATCCAAAAATCGGACGAAAAATAGCTATAATTGATATAATAACAATAGAAATATCACTACGTTACTCAAAAATCGAAAACCGAATAGCGTAAATAAAAATATACAAAATAAAAAATAAGTAAATAAATAAGAAAAAAAGTAAAAATTAATCCAAATAAATAAATAAATGAATAAATTAACAAATCGCTCCAGCTAAAATAACCGTTGGAACTAATAAAAACAAACCTAAGTAAGCAAGCAAATAACCAATCTAAACAAATAAATAGATAAAATAATAAACAAATTAAAACTGTTCCCTTCCAAAATAACAGAATAGACTACGGCAATCAATCCAATAATTAAACGAATAAATAGCTTTAATTATCTTCCCAGACCAAAACAAACTATTAAATTGACCTAAGCAAGATTTTACTACGTTAATGAAACATCGAAAACCGAAAATAAAAAAGAAAAAAATGAAAATAAAAAATAAAAAAATAAATTAACCAAAATAAATAACTTAATTAACAAGCCACTTTCACCAAAATAAGCGACAGAAACAGCCTGTCGCCACTGAGTGTTGACTTCAATGTTCACTTTTATATTTATATTAATTATACCCACAGAAAGTATTCATCCAGATTTGTTTGAGTGAAAACAAATTACTCCAAATTTAAAATAAGATGTTGTGTATTAAGATCATATGAGGGTTGCGATTTTCGAAATTATGGGATGTAGCATTAAAACAAACACAACTAACGTCCTACAAGATTCCTTAAACATAGAGATCCCAATACGTGTATGATCATAATACACGTTTATATTTAGTCAGCGTAAGCAATGGTCTGCATTAATAATGATGAACAGAATTTGAACCACTTTGGTTTCAGCTGGTGTCGTCACCATCGAGGAAATAACGCTGTAATATATGTCGAATAACTCGAATTCTTATTATTTGTTGAATTTATAATATCCAATATGTTACATTCAAACGTTAACTCATTGCTGGCATAATCGTTTCTTTATTTATGTATTTATGAACTCTGGAATATATCTCAAAGGTATCTGTCAGTGATCATGCGTATGCGTAGTCATACAATAGAAACTCCAAATGACCCCACGCAATGAATTTCTTCAGATTTAACATGCCCGATATACAGTAAAATATCTAGAAATAGGTCCGGATAAGCAAGACATGTGAAATCTTACAATATCGACACAGACTCCAATAATCAATCAAAACAAAGGTTTTTGTGTCGTCTTTCCGGAAAAGACTGTCAGTCTCTTGCAGTGCTTAAGAATCATTGTATATTCAATAATTCAGCGGTTGCTTGTATATCTTTCATTGATGTTATTTATTTTACTCAATTGTTTATATAAATTACGAAAACAAAAAGGACACTAACACTTAACATCAGAAAGAGACTTCTGAAATCTCTAGATCATATGATGAGGAAAGAGGGCTTAGAAAATTTGATACTCACAGGACAAACTGAAGGCAAGTGGGACAAACGAAAACAACGCATAACCTACTTGACGAGCTTGTGTAATTGGATGACAGAACAGGGTTTAATTTACTAAGAGCACTGCATTATGGGAGATTAGATATTACAGAGTAATTCGACACTTTCAATTGTTTTCTTTATTTCCAGCGAATTTTCATTTTTTTATTTTTTAATATTTTGCTTAGATTCTGGAAAACATGTTTCGCTATTACAACGCGCCTTCCTTCGTATTTCCGTCACACTTTCCGTTGTTTATTATTAAACTACACATATAATTAAAATTAACTAATTGTTGGGTTCTAGCCTCCCCAACACGGCAATCACACCTTGAAATATTCCTTTCGTTGACACCCAAGCAATCTGTTTTCTTACAGATATTAGTCCTTCTTGATTTCTTTTTACTTGGTCTAAGAATTCATCTATTTTTACTTTTTAATCTGACATCAACACTCTATAATAAGCTTGTCATAGTGATGAGATACCCGCCGATAATAAATCCTGGTAGGATTTGTAGTAGTATTTACCCCGTCTCCCCACTGAGACGGGATATTACACAAGGTCTGGTTTAATGTGGGGAACCCGAAAGCCTACACCCAGTCCAGGGCCAAAAATTGCTCAGCCCCCGCAGTCACATGTTGCGCTTCGATCAGAATCGTATGAATACCGAACATCCTCTCTAGTACAATGAGGGGCGTACAACAGCGGACAGCTGTTTACCGGGACAGGGCACTTCTCAGTAGTTTTTCCCAGCTGTTTCTCTTTTCGTGAGCTTTGCAATTCTCTTACTATCGTTTCGTTGTACTTATTAAATTAATCCGGTGAGAAAACAATTCTTTGTCTTACTCTTTATGTTTTTGTGTATTTATTGAACTCGTTCCCAATTCTGACGCAGTTAGATTGTTCACATTAAGAGATAACTGCATTATATAACTAAATCGCCGGTGTAAGGGAAATAGCCTAAGAGAGCGAAATGATATTTCAGTTTAATCTACTTAGGATATTATATACTAGCTTAAAAGCCATCCTATTAAAAAAAAAAATAGTATCCGATTTTCCTTTCTTTTGCAATATATGTAAGCGTAAACAAATAGTAAAACTAAGCTATGTATAGAATATATGACATGTCTTGTAACCCAACTGTAGTTAACTTGTATCATTTAAAGATTTCTATCACTGGTTTTCTGCCAAAGTTCGTGAGTCGAGAGATAGCAAGCAGATGCAAGAACTACTTTTGACGATCAAACACAAGTGCGATTATCCGCTTGTTTACTTTTTTCTTTCCTCGAATGATTTTGTTGTTCACAAAAAATATCGAATTCTCTACATAAAAATACCAACTGAAAATGGTTTGTACTAACCTCGTATAACAGCTCCCTATTACAACTTTGAAGACAAGAGATGTCATTCCAGATTGATAGCTGTTATCTAATAGATTTTTATGTAAACTGCGATATCACAGGGAGTATATATCATGACATCACATAACTAATAGCCGAAATATGGTAGCGAAAGATTGAATGATATTAATTATTGATCTAAAATGACTAAATAATGATAATAATAACAGTATTTTGA